TAGTCAGTCTCTGCCCCAGAAAAAGCCAGGTGTGGGTAGAAACCGGTTTAGTTGCCAATGACCCGGCCATGCAGCAGGTTTGACTGCGTTACCTGGTACTAAAAGCGTTCGTAGAGGGATTAGACACATAGAGAGACAATGCAGGCCTTGAAAAATGTTGTGTAAAAACGATTTTCCACGCCATAAGAATAATCTTAAAACTTTTGATTGACTTAAGATGAATACAGCGCAAAGAAAAAACATTACAACTTGAACGTTCCAAATAATAACTATTTTAAAGTCTGTCCTGGACACATGGCACAGTTGGTTAGATCCAGTGACAGGACCCAAAGAGTGTGGGTTCAATACCCGGTTAAGGCAGTGGAGAACTTTAAGAGGGAAAATTAACAGGAGATAGCTGATAACTGACATCCATCAAAACATGGCACGTGGAACTAGAACAGTCTACCCCAGTGAGCGAAATAAAGGGTTCAGTTCGACATTCCAACCACCTGAGAAAGGCCGGAGTGTACAACGGCCGAAACATTGTGATAAATATGGCGACAAATATGAGGACAATAGTCTGAATAATGTAAAAAATGTACATAATACCTCATCTCAGAAATATAGACAGATACTGAAAGACTGAAACATTATAATAAATATGGCGACAAAGCTAAGGACAACAGTCCGAATAATGTAAATAGTGTACATAATACCTCATCTCAGAAATATAGACAGATACTGAAGGACCGAAATGTTGTAATAAATATGGCGACAAAGATGAGGACAATAGTCCAAATAATGTAAATAGTGAACTATTTTAAACTATTTAAAAATTGTTTTAAGAACTGGAGAATGAAAAGAATACTATGGACAAAATAATAATAAGGAAAGACGACTTGGTGAATTTAACACTTACAAGATATATCAGATGCAAGAAAAATTTTGTTCAGGAGCGGGTAATCTACTTCATAATCTGAGTAAATACATGACAGAACAAGTACGATAAAGACATAGAAGTGATGTAAAGGTTTAGTTGCCGTTGGAGTTGTAGTCGGAGGAGTTGGGGTTAGTTGCCGTTGGATTTGCAGTAGCAGTTGCAGTGAGGTTGCGATCGTGAGTTGCATAACGCTGTATGCCAACCTAATGATAATAATAATAATAATAATTATCTGCCGAAGAAGAAAAACTCCGACGAATAACCTTGTGCCGTCCGCTCAAGTACAAATCACAGTACTCCAGTTGTCACTGAAGAAAGACTCCGACGAAATCCTTGTGTCGTACTAGAAAGTACAAATCACAGTACTTGAAGATAAATCTAGTTGTCAAGTCTGGCCTCTCTTTAAAGAAGCTACCCGCAATTTTCGTTCCGTCACCGATTCTTAGAACTGGTTGGGAAAAGAAGAAAAAGAACAAAGAAAAATAGATCTGTAAATATATATATATTTTTTGTTATTCTGATATAAAAATCATATCGTGACTTATTCGGGCGTCGTCCATTTTATTTTTCAATTTTGTATGCACGTGTTCACCTCTTTGGTTTAGCGTTTGTTAAGATACCTCAGTGGAATTTCGGCTTGACCCTCTTAAGATCAAAATCCCAACGTGGGTAAGAGAGGTCACATTTGAAGAGGTCAACTTAGAGACCAGCTGCTGTGTCAAACGCCATCAACTACAGACGAGTAGGCTCGCGACCTGTTCTCTGATACCGGGATCGATCCTGACCAAGCGAGCAGACCGGAATAGACCCGTAATACCGTCAAATTTGGAGGCCGTGACGGGATCGAAGCCTTGAATACGTCATAACATAACATACATGTTCTTAAGTAAAGATTTTCAACTCGAGCTTTTCTTATTGTCATTACTATGTCGTGACAATGTTGGGGATAAGCGGCCAGTTGCGGGTAAGAAAAAGATTTGATTGCAACTAAGGTTAGTGTTAGTCTTTTTAAGCACACCATTTACAGCTTGCCTAAGACATTCCTTTCGCTCTTATGACAGGAGCCGCGGGCAATATTTTTTTTCGATCACACCAAGAATCGCCGACAAAACCTCTGACGCGATAGTCTGTGGAATTGTCCGAATCTAATTCTCGCACTGCCACATGCTCATCATTTTTGAAGGTCTTCAGAGAATGTAGATCTCTTTCATCGCATTCCTGGCCAAGTTCGAAACGTTGTTACGAGAATTTTCTCCGGGCTTCATTCACTGAATCAACCTTTTTAAATCATAGGATGAAGAGGCATGCTTCTTTTCATCATTAGATTACGGTCATATTGATTTTCCCACATCAAGATGTATTAGGTGCGCGCAAAAGTTCACAGCGAATATAAGCTTTAATATTTTATTCAGACTTTAGTTAAAAAAAAAGAAGAAAAATAACAGAGCTAGCAAATTTTATAAACATCTAATCTATCTCTATATCTCTTTCTCTCTCTTTCTTTCTCTTTTACTTTATCTCTCCCTCTCTCACTTTTCTCTATCTTACTTTCTCTCTCACACTTTCCCTCTCACTGTATCTCTCTTGCACTTTCTCTCTCTATCAGTTTCTCTAACTTTTTTGTTCTCTCTCTCTCTGCTTATAGCCAGATCACTATGGAACCTCACTCTTACTCTCTTTTAATTTCTTTCTCACCCTCTCACTTTTCTCTCTCTATCTTACTTTCTCTCTCACTGTATATCTTTTTCACTTTCTCTCTCTATCTCTTTCTTATAGCCAGATTACTTTGAAACCTTACTCTTACTTTCTCTCACCACTCTCACTTTTCTCTCTCTATCTAATTTTCTCTCTCACACTTTCCTCTCACTGTATCTCTCTTTCGCCATCTTCCTCTATCTCTTTCTCTAACTTTCTCTCTCTCAGCTTATAGCCAGATTACTTTGAAACCTTACTCTTACTCTCTCTTATTTCTCTCTCTCTCACACTTTTCTCTCTCTATCTCACTTTCTCTCTCACACTTTCTCTCTTTCACTTTCTATCTCTTTCTCTAACTTTCTCTCTCTCAGCTTATAGCCAGATCACTTTGAAACCTCTCTACATATACGCACGTACCAAAATATACCGTTTATTTCCGCATAGAAGGTGGCCTGTAGATAAGACGAGGTCAAAAATTATAGCAAACTTTCATGAATTTATTATATACCTGTAGTATAAGACGACTGCTTATTGATTATATAAAGATGATGATATTGGAAATGTTATTACTTACTGTATCTTTAGAAACTCAAAATAAACGAAATGACAAAACCGATTGTATATAATGTTTTCCTACACACGTCCCCTAAAAAGGAAACCATTATTTTGTTTATGATCATCAAGTGATCTCTTGCAAACACCGATTTTTTTCTTCCTCTTCTTTTCCAATATCTAAACAGTTACAAACAGCCTGGTGCACTAATGGCCATTTACTTATACTTCATCGACAATCACAAAATACCGCTAATAACAGTACGATAATGTACGATAATATTACATTTTACAAACATATTACAAACCTTTTTTTTTATTCAATCAGTTCCAGAATCGGACTGGTATCCTTACGATGAAGACATATATGATAAGTCTCACGAGGTGTTAGAAAAACAGATACTGACATTTGTGAGGAATTTGATAGGTTTTAGATGTACATGTTGCAGGGTTGTTTTTATTAATATTGATAACCTGATGAGAAATAAATAGTTTTTATAATATCTCAAAAGTTTTAAATGCAACTACCGTAAAAGGATTTCATTTGAAAAATAAAGGTTGTATGTAATCCTAAATTGCGTTATTATTTAACACCAAAATGATAATGAATTTTAATGAGAAGCGAATATTATGTTATCCTACATATTATTACTGCCGTAATTAATACTACCATTATTGAAACTTTAGCGAAAGATAAAGATTGCTGTGAACGTAATCATAACTCGATAACTTACATTTTCTCAGCTAAGCTTGCATGGATATAAATTGATTTTATTAATATGGAATTATTGCTCGAATAGGCAATTTATTATGAAGTTATGTCGGTGTTATATAACGTAGAAATAGTTTCATTACTTTTATTATCAGTTTATTGGATAATGTGAATCTTTTCATATACGTTATTGGTTATTGCACCGAGGCCAAGGTTAGACAAACAATTTTTTTTTAAGCATTACGCCCCAAGCAAGGCGTGAAGCCACTAGGATGCAGGGGGTTGCAGAAGATTTGGAGCGAGAGCGGATAGGAGTGATAGAAGAAAGGATGACGAGAAGGATAGTGGGTAGATCAAGGTAACTGGTGGTGTCGAGTGACATTACATTTGAATAGTTGGAGATTATAGCTTTCAGGGAAACAGTAATTGGGAAGGGTGTTCCACAGGCGAGAGGTGCGAGGTATGAAGCTATTGGAGTAGAAGAGACGGCTACATTTAAAAGTTTCTACAGTGTAAGGGTGGGAGCGGGATGCCAGCCTCGTAGGGCGCTTGAATTACTCAGAATTTAAGGTTTCCTTTTTTGCAATTGTAGTATGAGACGGCCTCCCAATGTTTAAGGGTAACTTTGGGGATTTAAAGGTCGTCTTATACACGGAAATATACGGCATATATTTACGTATACTAACGCTTCCAAATACATATCGATTTATTTTTTTATTACTTCAAACATATGTTATTGTTTGTGGATACCCGTATTTGAAATAGACGCCCGTTTTTGTTTTTAACAATGTGTAATATATCTATTATTCAAGTAATCTTAATAAAGCAAACGATTTACAGCTACAGCACACTGAAACACCGGTTCACGTACCATCACCGATGTATCGAGATAGGTGCCCGGTTAGGAATACCATGCGCTGTCAGCTTGGAAGTGCGGGTGGTGTAATGGAGAATGGCTCGAAATTGTTAGTCGGAGAGTTGAGTTCCAATTTGAGTACTTTCAGTACTTAGATGGGTGACTGCTCGGGAATACCAGGTGTTGTAAGCTTAGATGTGCAAGTGGTGTAACGGATAATGGCTCGGAATTGCTAATCGTAGAGCTGAGTTCCAATTTGAAGAGATCCCCGAAGATAAGCAACGTCGAGCCTGGTCAGTACTTAGATGGGTGACTGCTCGAGAATACCAGGTGCTGTCAGCTTGAATGTGCGGGAGGCGTAATGGATAATGGCTCGGAATTCTTAATCGGAGATATGAGTTCCAATTCTCGTTGGGTTCGTTATAGTCATTACGCGCAAATACTCTTAGGAAAGTTATGAATCAACCGCTTCTCCCCTCATCTATGAGTTAATTACTAAGAATTGTATCACTAAAATCATTTATATCTATGAATAAATGTAATCAAATTCTTACAATCTAAAAAGTTTCTTGGCTACAAAGTGTTAATAAACCGTAAAATACAAAATAAATCAATCAACCCATCCTTCTCTTTATTTTCCTTTTTTGTCTGTATATTGGAGAAAAAAAATTATATTTGAATTTGAAGTGTACTCATTCCGATCGCGGGGCCTCGACAGAGTCCCGCGTCGTTATTTTTCGTCACTACCTCCCCGTGCCGGGAGTGGGTAATTTGCGCGCCTGCTGCCTTCCTTAGATGCGGTAGCCGTTTCGCATGCTCCCTATCCGGAATCGAACCCCGATTCCCCGTTACCCGTAGTAACCACGGTAGGCACTTAACCGACCGTCGACAGTTGATAGGGCGGACCCTCGAGAGACCCGTCGCCAGGCGTGAAAGCCAGTACGATCGACCAGTGAGTTATCCAGAGTCACCAAAGCGGAGCGCGCCGCCCTTTGGCCCCGCCGCGAAACGCCGCCGGCGACCGCCGCTCAAGACGACAGTGACGACGACGACCACGACGAGAGGACTGAATGACGCTCATCGGTCTCAGTCTAATATGTAGCGCCGCGACCCGTAACGGTCGACGCGGGTGCCCACGCGCGTGACGGCACGCAGGCGACGGCGACGCGCCGACCGATCGCGGCCTGTGTCACATGTATTAGCTCTAGAATTGCCACAGTTATCCATCGACTCCGAGGAGGATTACGGTCTCGAGGATTAGGTCCGGTTCCTGAGCCATTCGCGGTTTCGCCCGTTCTAATGCGTGACGTGAACTTACACTTGCATGGCTTAAGCTTTGAGACAAGCATATGACTACTGGCAGGATCAACCAGGTATCGTTCTTTTTCGCGATAATATAATGTTAGCTTAGTTATTTTAGATCGAGTACTGTTTTGCGGATGTGCCGTGTGGTGTGACGGATAATGACTTAGCATGAGAAATCATGGAGCTAAGTTCGAATTCCAATCAGGTTCGTTATATTCACTTACACGCAAATACCCTAGGGAGTGGCCTGGAACCATCTTTTCTACCCCAGGGTGGGATGGCAGGACATACTGGGTCCTACAGCCTTGGTTGGTAATCGTAGAAAGAAACAGCAACCTACTGCGGGAACATCTACCCTGTCAGTCATGAATCGAAAGAGACATGATCGCCCAAGCGTGTATCGCGTATGACACTTAACTGACTGTTTTATTAGCTCCCTGTACGCGATGTTATATTTATATTTCGCGCCATATAATTCGGCACTCTCTTTGATGAAGTAATTCTTCACATTTGTTTTTATCCAAACAACTGCCTAATAATGAACGAAACCAAGCAGTTAGGAACAAGTGTAGATTTATTAGTAGTACACACCTGCCAGCTATTGAAAGCCAGTGCAATCCGTGCACACATTGAGCAGCGCAGTACGAGTACCAGACAAATATCAACAGACAGCACGAAAATAGTCTACAGCATCCAATGCAAGGAAAGGCTCAAACACCAGAAGCTATTCTTATTAAAAAATAAACAGTCAACATTAAAAGAAAATATCACTCACCACTGCGGGGGCCATCATAAAGAGACAGATATTCCGACCTGAAAACTTGGAACAAACACATGGCAGTACCTTCACTCACAGCATTGTCCACAAAGACTTAACGTATTCGGTGACTTGGTGCGGCTGTAGACAAACCCATCTTAAAGTCATAAAGCAGATAACACCGATCGAGCTGCTTCGACAGCGGAATGTTTACCTGCAGCTCGAGCTATGACTGATGTGTGTGCGCACGCACCTGTATTGGCCAAGGGTAATACCACCACACTAGCTCTCGTCACTTTTCCCGCTACGTGACGCACTCATTTGCGTATCATTGGTCACGTAAAAAACGGCAAAGACTTTTTTCATTACCTTACAAATGCATGTTATTTCTACAATCATATATATACAGTTTAACCCCCATATATATATATATATATATATATATATATATATATATATATATATGAAGAAATATAGTCTTAAGGCGTGCTATATTTATGGGATAAAGTGCTCAATATCAGAAATAGAGCGTGTGTAAATATAAAAGTGAACATTGAAGTCAACACTGAGAGGCGACAGTCTATTTCATGACTGTCGCCTCTAAGCGACTTCATTGACTTTAATGTCTTATATATATATATATTTTAATATATTATATATATATATATATTATCACTTTAAACGTTATTTATTAAACAGTATATTTAGTTTTGTCTACCAGTTTACCACACTCTTGCGCCATATGTGGCCTCCTTTGTAAATCACTAGCGGGTTTTTAAGTGACACTCAAGGTTATCGCACAAAATTTCATAACTGAATCAGTTAAGCTGTCAGATCCTCATACGTCGAAACCGACAGGAGAGTCCATTATATATATATATATATATATATATATATATATATATATATAGGATATGGGATTTCCTTGGGCAGATTTCCAAAAAGGCTATATGAATTTTTGAAAATGTGATCAGAATTTACCTTAATTTCAATAAAAAAAATCCTGGGAAAGACGTATTAACAACTTTCGACACGAACTAAGAATAAAATATATATATATATATATATATATATATATATATATATATATATATAATAAATATTAACGGCTTTTTTTTGGGAACGTCACTCATTTTCTTTAATCACAAGAAACCCCAGCTGATGGAAAAAATATCATGATTCATTATTTAAGCATACACACAAGTACACATATCATCATTTCTTTGGTTCATTTTCGCATCTGATGAAGCCTAGAAAGGCGAAACGCGTTATCAAATCTATTTTCAAGCAAATCTATTTTCGATCAAATCTATTTTCAATGAAACGTTTTCCATTTTTTCAATATATATATGTATACATATATATACATACATACATATATATATATATATATATATATATATATATATATATATATATATATATATATAGCATTTTAAAAGGCTAAAAAGAAATTTCTTGAAATTCATTTTTTTCTTTCCATTCATATTAGTTAAATTTATATATATATTTTATATCCCATTGATAAGGCTACAAACATTGTCATTTTATATATTTTAAATATATATATATATATATATATATATATATATATATATATATATATATATATATATATATATATATATATATATATATATATATTATATATGTATTATATTATATATATATATATATATATATATATATATATATATATATATATTATATATATATATATATATATATATATATATATATATATATATATATATATATATATATATATATATATATATATATATATATATATATATATATATATATTTTATATATTTTATAATTATATATATATATATATATATATATATATATATATATATATATATATATATATATAGGTATATATATATATATATATATATATATATATATATATATATATATATATATTTATATATATATATATATATATATATATATATATATATATATATATATATATGTATATATATATATATATATATATATATATATATATATATATATATATATATATATATATATATATATATATATATATATATATATATATATATATATATATATAGGGGGAGGCTATTTACGTATAGAATTTGTATTTTTGACTGTGTCTATTTCAAGGCCTTCATCAGTGCTTAAACCCCATTGAAACCAGCACTTCCGTTATTATTTCATAATATCCTCGGATTTTAGCGATTATCCTGGAATGATAGATCCATCGAAACGTTTCCTTTGACCGATCTTGAAACCCATTCATCGGAACGGTTTTAACGAAGATTACTGAGGCGGAATTGTTCATAAAGCCTCGACTTTCGTCTTCGATTGGAAAGATATTCATTTTCAGGATTCCTCGTCTAAGAGTTTCCTTCACACTGGTCTTTGATGATACCATTCGGCGCTTTCTTCAAAAGGATCTGTCCATTGAATGGTTTCAACTTCAAACTGAGAAGATCTGGAGACGTGAGCAATCAATGTGATCTCAGATGCAGAGTCAAAAGCGCCTACCTCCCCCCCCAAATCTACATTAATCAGCGAAGATTTCGACTTTAAATTTTATAAAATATAGTAAAATTATATTCCTCGGTATTTCATTCATTCACGATATTTTATATTTATCAATATGATAGCAGAAAATTTAGTTTCGTAGCTTCCTTTGATAGCTTCGGTAAGTATTCCTAGCATCTGGCCATGGCTTAGTAAATACTTGAATGTTGATGTACTTGAGGCTTGCACTCTTCGAAATTACATTGTAGCAGTTAAAAATCATGACTTTAACGTCAACTGTCATTTGTCACATGTCTATATATAAAATTCTGTGATTTCTGTTTGTCCGTCCGTCACACTCTCTAAAATAACCGTACATTGACCGGTCGAAACCAAATTTTGGGGAGAAGGGCAAACAAATAATGGGGGTACAAAGTACAGTTGGTTTTACCAGGGTGCGTAGAAAAAATCTGAATTGAAATCCTCACAGTGTTTAGTATTCTCAAAGTTATCGTTAATATTTTTAGTCGACGTTTACAAACTCTTTGTTTCGTTAAATTTCGTAAACGAATCGATGAAATATGAAAACATAAAGAAAAGATATTCAAAAAGCAATATTGCATATTTATTAAATAAATATTCGTTATTTTTATCATTAAACTGTTTTTTTTTAAAAATAGTGGGAATATTTTGTATATTAAGTAATAAAGCTTTCAATTTTTCTATGCTCTGGTAAAACCAACTGTACTTTGTACAATACATTTATCTGTAGTTGAAGCCATAAAACTGTTTTCAAAATATTTAGATTTCGATATTAAATAACCCGTAGAGATGTTAATATGCCGCTAAGCAAAATCAACCAAACCAAATCGTATAATGTCATTTGTGTTATCACTCCTGTCTAAAATTGCAGGCAGCGTGACTTTTGACAAACTCGATATTTTTTTCCTTTTCTCTCCCGGTCTCATACGAGTCTGCAAAATATTGTTTTTTGGTCAAATAATAAAATGAGTTGAAAAGCGATAATTCTTTCCGTATTTGATATTTCATGTCATTTCCTTAGTGCCTTTTACTGCTTATCTCAATGAATATATTAAGTTGCAGCAGGAGTACCGTCAATTGAGCCATACAAGGTGACCTAGCGTACAAGTTGATTTTTAGCTCAAAATTCTTAATTAGACCTATATGTTGAGGGGTCCACCCTTTTTTATACAAATGGATTCACCCAGTGTATACTTATACTACTGCCAGTGAAGACCGTCGAGTGGAGTCGAGTTCAGAGTGACAGAGTAAAAGGTTGTAGGTAACCGGAAGAGTGAGAGTGAGGTAACAGCGTTGTAGGAGTCACAGGAGAGCGAAAGAGATCCAAGTACAAAAGTGAGAAGAACGAGTAGAACGAAAAACGAGCAAGATTCACAGTGAGCAAGGACGTAGACTCAGTAAGAAGTCATACAGCGATACTTCAATACCAAAGACTGTATATATATATATGTTTTACTACTAACCCACGTTCTTGGAACTACTAACCTGCATTACCAGTTTGTATTATTACATTAATACATTTATTTTCCTATATTCCTTTTTGGCGTTTGTTATTTATTGGTACCGGATTTCATCCCGGAATCCACAACACTATACTTACCTTAGAGGTCGACTCCCAAACATACGGTAGGCTACAAGTGGCCTAAAAGTTAGTCATACCAGTTACTGAAGTTAGGCTACACTTTACGATAACCTGTGCCAAATCTACATATGATCACATCATTTAAATCTATATTGAGACAATGATGGTAATATCTTTCTATCAG